GTGTGTGTGTGTGTGTATATATATATATATATATATATATATTGAGAGAGAGAATTTTCTTACCTTGTCTACGTTATTATTTTATATTAATCTGATATCTTTACTGTTCATGGAAACTTACAACATACGTTAATCAAATCATGTTTTGGTTTTTCAACCCAGCTGGTGTATTTTAATTAAAATATTTCTTGCCTTGTATCGACTGCCATAGGTCAAATCAAGCTCAGTTTCCTCAATATCAAAGGACATTCCTGGTGTTTTACTCATCATTTTAATATACACAGCTTCGCCTGGTTGTACTCTGATGACCAGCTCATTCCTCTTGCTCTCTCCATGGAAGATATCTCCCGGAACATCTCGATACTGTATACGAACTTCAGCTTTCCGCTCATTTAAGGCTGTTGAAATACAGTGACAAAAAAAATTAATGGTATTTTCACCTACAGTTGAAAATTAGCTCCCTGTACCCAGTTCATTTTTTATTTCCTTGTTAAATATGTTTCATTTTCAATAATTATATTGAAATAATCTTGCATTTCAGATCATGGTAAAATTACTATATTAGTATTGAGTTATTATTACACTATTTTACACTGACTTTTTTTTTTGTAAAAGAACATTTAACCAATTAAAATGTACTTTAAAAGATAGATAACAAACTAGTATACTAACCTTTTCCACAACGAAGAAAGAAAGGCACTCCTTCCCATCTTTCATTGTTGACATAACATGTAGCCAAAGCATATGTTGCAGTTTTAGAGCCCTTAGGGACAGTAGGATCATCTAGATAACCCTCTTTTGCTTCTCCTTCTCCATTAGGATCCCCAACATACTGACCTAAGACTGTATCTTCGAGTTTGACCTCTGGCATGCACCTCAGAACCTTTACCTACACATTAAAGTAGTTCGTATTTATTTACAGAAAAAATAACAATAATAAGATTATTATGTTTTTATTACAGATTTAGAAATAACTTTGAAAATACCTAACTGATAAGATGTCTATAAAGCAATCTTTAAATCTTACAGAATACACAACATAGGTAACAGCTTCAAGGTATAAATATGTTTTTATACACAATGAAACTAACCTTGTTTGAACTCAGTTGATAGTCAGTAATGCAGAAATGTATAATATGGTATGAACATTCTTTAAGAAAAAAAAAAAGTCCTGACTTTCCAGGCAAAATTTCAGATTTTCTAGACCTTCACTATACATTACATCACACTGTTATATTAATTTCTCATTATCTTAGTTAATTAAGACTACTTGGTTATATATTATAATAAAAACTTCAGAACAAGTTTATTTCAGGCTATAGTACTACAGAAAAAGTTCTTCAAACAAAGACATTGAAACTTGATGGTGGACAGTAAAATATTTATTCATAATATTTGATCTAATGTATTATCAAATATAATTATCATGAGGTAAAATACTATGGACCGAATAACCAAGACTATGTTAAAATATGCTAATAACTGGCATAACTAAGCAATATGGTTTGTGCACATGTGCAAGTTTTGAAATAGAAAAGAGCACAAGTTTCTTTCTCTTTTCTCCAGGTTTTGTGACAATTTTTCTATTTTCCCTGAGTTTTGACCCCTTTTTTAAAATTCTCTGACTTTTCCAAGTTAGTGATTGTCCTGATGTAAGTAGAAATTGTTACATTTTATAATTCTGTTAGAAGCACAAAATGAAACTAAAATACTGCATGTACTAAGTTATTTTATCAGTTGCACAAAACTAATAAATTATTATTTACATAAAATACTGCATGTATTAAGTTATTTTATCAGTAGCACAAAACTAATAAATTATTATTTACGTAAAATACTGCATGAATAAAGTTATTTTATCAGTAGCACAAGACTTACAAATTATTATTTACATATTTATCTGTGTAAAATTAACAAATCTTTTGTCATTTATGCTAAATACATGTTACCATAAAAACACTACTCTCATTAAGATGGCTCATACTGAGGAACTAATTTTATAATTTTGTTGTTTGTATGAAACTAACCAACTTTGAGCTCGGGCGAGAGTCAGTAAAACTACGATGAGTAAATTTCTATAAAAGTTATTAAAGTTTTTGATTTGGTAAGATTAACAAACCTTCCCTTGAATAGTTATTCTGCTATGAAAGTCAAAGGATCAGTGACAAATATAATGGGGAATGGTCCAAGTTTTCAGCAGCAATTATAATAAACTGTAATGTTACATGCAGTTCTTAAAATCTATTTAGAACTGAATTCAAACAAATTAACTGAAATCACAAATTATTTTGTAATACATAATAAAACATTTGTTAGGCACATTTGACAATGCTAATGTTTAGTGGTTAAAAAATTTTACATTACTTTGAGATTATCTATAGTGATTAAATATTACTGTTACTGAGGAACGTACACCACAGATTATGCTATGTTTATAATAACATTTTTTTTAGCTATAAGTTAATAACAGCAAAATGTTTTTAAAGCTTATGGAAAGGTGAACAATCAAGGCAAGTAAGTAGTAGTACTTGTCAGTACATATAATTTACAGTTAACACCTAATATAAGTAAAATAGGAATATTAACAGCAAGTTTCAAACATTTTAAAAATATTGTGATTAATTACTAAATAATAAATGCTTATTACTCAGCATAAAAACTTAAATAGATTTTAATGTTTTAAAAAATAGCCTATAAGGAAAAGGGCATTTTTAAATATAATAATAAACATTGTAATTTATATACTAAAGGTTACTTATAAAACAAAAACAGCTTACCATTATAAACTAGTAATGATTCAACCAATTTCTATATCAGTCAATCATTTTCTTGTAAACTGAATAACTATTTGTATGATTCAGTGTTTTAGTTATTATGGGCTTTATATTGGTCAAACTGAAAATTTGAGACTGGATGAATTTGCATAACAAATATTTTAAAAATCTCAATAATAGTCCTTTACCATGCTCAAAATATTTAATGAATTATTACAACAACAGTTTAGCTACTTAAAAAAGTCTCTGTTTTATTGCTTTCCTATTCGGTATTCAAAGATTAAAAGAGAATAACAAGATACGTTTTTGTGAAAAGTATTTTATAGACAAATATAAAACAACATTAAACTCTTAATCTATTTGTTAAAAATACCAGGCTATCATTTTTACCTTTGAATGCAGATATGAACTTCTACAAGTTGTTATAAATTTTCACAGTGAAATTATTGTATATCAGTATTATATATACAACTGAGACTGGGAAAAATTTAATCTTTGAAATCACTCTTTTCACTAAACAACTCTGAAATTATACCAAGTCTGTTTCTTTGTTTGACATACAGTTTTTTTCTATATGTTTTTCATGTGTTACTTTTCCTTTTGTGTTTAAAAACCTAAAAATCTACTCATCATGTTGTTGTTTTTTTTGTAATTTCAGGACAGAATTTATGTATTTCAAAATTTTTATGTAGTTTACAATTTTAATGTGTCCTCACAGTGGGAGAATGGCTGCATAGGATCAGCAGATGTCTATATAAACTTTCTGAAGTTTCAAATATGGGTTCAGTTCACAATATACCAACATATCATAATCAGATGTGATAGAGAGCCAAGCATTGAAAATTTCAAAGTTTTGTGTGGTGCTTCAAATTAGAGATCTGAAATTGGAAGAACCCTTACTTATTCATCATCTGAAGCCAGTGAAAGTAACTTTTATAATTAAAAATGAAAGTGGATTTTAACTTCTGAAGCTGCTTAACGTACTTTCTATTAGTAGAGTTCAATTTAAATTTATATGCAATCAAGTCTTCTGGGAAAAGGTTGTAACTTATGGTACAAAAAAAAAAAGAGTTCAAATAACATTAATACCTTCTCATCTCTGATGTCCTCTGCTACAGTAGACACAGGTTTTTCCATGGCAACCAAGCTCAGCATCTGAAGTAGGTGATTTTGCATCACATCCCTAAAACATTGGGAAGATAGTCATAAATTGTTGTAACTTGCATTCTAGTAAACTTTAAAAGAAATATATCCACCCATAATTGTTTTACGTATTATGGGTTTGTCAATAAATTTTATACTTACCTAATGATGCCAAAGTTATCAAAGTATCCACCACGTCCCTGTGTTCCAAATGGCTCCTTAAAGGACACCATCACACAAGAAATATGTTCTCTGTTCCATGTTGGACCAAAGATTCTATTTCCAAACCTGAAAACAATATCAATGAATGCTGAATTTCATATCAGGTGATACTTTATTTTTTTCTACTAAGAAAGACAGCAATTTTTCAGCATTATTTCATAAATACAATATAGTTATATGAGCATAGTATAGAATGGATCATTAATCAACTGTTTAAAAAAGTAAACATAACAGTACGAGTTACCTAAAATACATTTTGACAAAGTTAAATGGGACTTTTAATGGTTGGAGACGGCTTGAATGGGTAATGAAGAAAACTTTAATATAAGTTTAACATAATAGCAAATGTACGATGTTTCGACAAGGTTTTGTCATCGTCACCTGAATAGACAAAGAATAGACAAGAAAATCGATATGTGCTTGTCTTTATCAAGTACTTCATCAAGTAAGCCAAAGCTTATCCATTGGTGGATACAGTCCACAGAGCACTAGATGCCACAATTTGACTCACCTGAAGTAATTCACATACGCCAGGGAGCTAATTTCAACAGCTACCTATTCTCTGAGTTGGGTAAGTGTATGGACATACTGAAGAGGCACACTTTGTTTTATCATACCCAATCTCAGGGTTTAAAAGAATCGGTAAAACAAATTACCAAATAGATATAGCCAAATTTGTTAGTCCTTACAGAAACAACTGTGATGAATATTTGTCATATGTCATGATGGTGTATCATGCTACTGAACAGAGGTCAACTGGTTGTGCACCAAACTTAATCATGTTTGGCTGAGAAATAGTTTCCTGTGAACATGATGTATGGTCCACTCCCACACCAAAGGTGCTACAATATCTGTAGTGGTTAAAGTCTGCAAGAATTAATGTAGAATTTCCATATCAATAATAAGAAAAGGCTGGTATATGACAGAAGAGATATTACAATACATAAGTTATGGAACAAATGTTTGAGCATGGAGACTAGGTGTGGCTTTGGTATGTGCCAGCAGCATGGAAGAAACTTGATTTTAGCTGAACAAGTCCTTATGTCCTTCTCCAGACATATACCCAGTTCCATGGTGGGCAGTAGTTTATACTGCTCATATTATTACTGTGCTACTAGCTATGCCAGTGACTGCAGTACTATAATGAACTGCCATCTAATAGCCAAGAAACTCAATTGATAAAAATGGATAAAAATTAGAAATAGTACTTGTACAGTGGTTAGCCTGTTTCAGTTATCAGTGTAGAAACTATTGTTTACAGTTCTACCATCTTTATATTTCCCACTGGACCAGGGCTGTGTTTTTGTAACAACCATATAGTGGTAGAAGAAACATGAATAGGTCAGAGGAATCTGAGTTAATTGTTCTTATGGCAACAGTAGGCAGCATAGCCGTATGCTGGTCAAGTGAGAGACCCTAATTTAGCTTGGTGGATGTTCATAGATGCAAGGAATAATTTTTTTAAAGGCAATATACATGTGAGTGCACATAAGCCTGTAGAAATAGCACTTGATGAGGCAATAGTTAGTACGAACATTCAAACCAAATATATTTTTTTTTCTGAACTTCTGACTACTCAGAAACCAATTAACCACATCTCTTTCAATCCTTACTTCTTATTATATAAGACTGAATTTTTTACAGTTCTGTCTATTTTGTCTTTAAGTAGACTCGACAGAAATTTTGCATACATTCATTCTGCTTGGTAAACTACTGATTTTCTTGCATGTAAGGCTGCATGTTGTCCAAGGACATTGAAGAGCACCCTGTCATACAACCATTTTTTTCTTCATAGGTATTATTATTGATTTTGGTTTGGTTCTTTGTTAAAAGGCTTATTATTAAAGGATTACTTTTGTGGCTTGGTTTTTTAGGTACATCTTGTATTTTTAACTATTGATCTATTTTCCTGTGTATTGTATCTTCGTTATTAGTTTTAGAGTTTTTGATTTTATACTGTATTGTGTATTTGATAATGTAAATTGTTCCTTAACTGCTGTTAAAAGTTTTTTCTATTAAAATTTGTATTAGGTCGTCCAGAAATTAATGTCCTCTTTTTTTAGATGAAAAAACCCAAAAAACTTGTATATCAAAACAAAACATTTATTAAATGAAATAGGCTCTATTTTTATCAATGATGCTTTTCCATCTTACAATCAGGTTGTTAATGCCCTGATTAATAAAATCACTTGGCTTTGAAGCAAAATAC